GGGTTGTCCTTTGGACATCAGCACAGCACCCTAGCTGCTTGGGGTAGTCCGCCATAGCCTATGCATGAGAGAGGAGGCTGAAGGAGGGAAGCCATAGCTATGGTGGACTGGTTGTTGTTGTCGTTGTTGTTGAGTTGAGTCAGCAGTAAGAGGGAACTTCGGATATTGATTCTGGTTCATCCATTCATTGTTATTGTTATTATTGAGAGAAGAATAAGATTGGTGAAGAGAAGGAGGAGGAGGAAGGTGGAGAGAGAAGGGGGCATTGTCATTGGTCTTGCTGGTGTACTTCTTCTTCTTCTTCTTCTTCTTCTTCTTCTTCTTCTTTACCTCTCCTCTGGTCTTTATCTCTTTGCAAGTGCTTTCATTTCTTTTTGGGTGGCATTGTCTTTCATTGTGAATTTGCACTTGGGAAATGACCAGGATCGTAACAATTGGTATCGGAGCGGACTTACTTGCTGGCGAGAGGTGTTAGTCACCCTAAACCTAATTCCGAATTAGGTCAGGGCTAACCTAACTTCGGATTAGGGTTGGAAGTTAGGGTTAAGTGGGGCAGTGAGGTATGTGGATACTGGCCCCACCTGGTTAGGTCATGTAAGGTCGACATTTGACCTGACCAGGTTGACTGAGTGAATGGATGGGGTGGCGAGACACAAAGGAGGCTGATTGGAGTAAGCGAGAGGGAGTAGAGAGTGAGAGGTACTCGCACCTGGAATCTGCACTTCAAGAAGACATTGAGTGACTTTTGGGCTTCCCCTCAAGAGGGAGACTTGATCAGAGGCTGCCATATCTGCATCGGATTGCTGCAAGTTGCTACTTTGGTCTTCAGACATCGACGAGGGATCCGGCTTTGCAACAGGGGTGTAGGAAGGCCCTCTTAGTCATACTAGGACACTTCGTGTAGTGGTAGCTAGGGGTCAGGAGGACTTATGAGAGAGGGGGGTGACTCGTTATCCATCTTTGGAGGCCGGGCCTCACAGGTAAGTGCCGTGTGACCTGGTTATGCTCATGGGAGGTTGCTTGGTACTTCATGGCCTGTTGGGGGTGTGCTGGGCTCTCTTCCCTTTCTCTGCGGTCTTGGTTGTGTGTGTGAGCATGCGGATTGCTTTCTCACCTGATGGATGGATGGATGATGTATCTATTCTAAATGACATATCTTTCTACGGTGCATTGTCTTTTCATTTTTGAAAGGCTGTAGGGGTAAGTTCTTGCTGAAAGTTGTCTTTTCCTTTTCAGTACGGTAGAGGCAGTTTGGGACCGGCTTGGTACCCCTATCACGTTGGTCCTGGTCCACGACCTACTTGGGACCCCTCGGGACCCAGTGGGACCAGGCCCAACGGGATATGACCTTTTGAGCCCAAATTTGTTGCGCCTGTGCATCTCTTTGCTGCGCTGAGCTTGGGGGGACATACGGCTAGCAAGGGCATTCCTTTCAAGGGGATCTTGACTGGTCTTACCGCCTGTTATCACATACTGCCCCGCGTCTGGCTCGACGACCGTCTGCACCCCTCAAAATCTCCATTGCTGCAGTTAGTTTTCTTCGACTGACTTATTGTGATGCATGTCCCTTGTCAGGTTAGACAAGAGGGGATCTCCAACTGATCTGATCGGGCCCGTTCTATAAGTCGGTCCTCTCTTCCATGTTATTTATTTATTTATTCTTTTTCCGTTGCGTGCCATTCTCTGAGTCCAAATGAATTGCCGCTCCGGCCAGGAGTTCTACCTTCTTCTCTGTGTGAACTTTCTGATTGTTTCTTTCATCTGAACTATCTATGTCCGGTATCGAGACGCGTGCGCAGACAGCGAGAAGAGAAGAAAGGGAGAGAGAAGGTGTTCTTTTTGAGAGTGTGAGGAAGGGCAAGAGGAGCGTTCGTCCAAACGTCAGGAGAGAGCGGACCCCTCTTGAGAGATCTACTGATACTCCTTCCTCTGGCATGGCGAACGTCACCTCTGCCGAATGGCAGGCCATGCTGGACGCAGCAGAGGAGAACGAGAAACCGTTCTTCCAGAAACTTTATGATGATGCCGTACAGAGGGAAAGGGAGGCAGAGGCAGCAGCCAGAGCCACGAGTATAGCTGCTCAGGTGGCCCTCCTTCAGGTCCCGGAAGCCAATGCTGACCGGTTCCAGGAAAGGCTAGCTGCTGCCGTTGCAGCCTTGGTTCAGCTGAGGAACTTGGAAGACCTTGAGTCCCGTGTAACAGCACTGGAGCAGCGGAACCAAGAGCTGCAGGCTGAGATAATCAACCTCAAACAATCTCAACTGTCTGCCCCCCGCCCTCTTAACCCTCGATCTGTTGCAGTCCCAGTATCTCAATCTAACACAGTCCTCATGGCAAGAGCAAGTGGAATTGTGGCAAGCGCAGGCGCCGGTGCCAGCTCCTTGAGCGACAGCGCCGGCAGTTCTGCACTAGTCATAGTCCCAAATGCGGGGACATCAGCCCAAAACGCCACAGTCCTTACTGGCGTTCAGTACAACGGTCCCGTAGTGGACAAACGGGCGGCCACTCTGCCGTCCAAGTACGACGGGAAAGCGGACATCACCTCTTGGATTAGTTCCATGCGGTCATACTTCGAGGTCATGCGGACACCGCAAGAGGACCGAAGTATGATCATGGGGACTAATACTGAGCCCGCCGTACGGAATCACATTGAGCTCCAAGCTGTTGCTGCAGGTTATGAACGAATTGACCTGACTGAGTGGCTGAAGGTAACCCCTGTACGCACCCTTGAGGACCTTCTCCTCACATGATACCAAGACAAGCATGCTGCGCTCAAGGCTAGGCTGAAGCTTGAGGCCCTCAAGGGTCAAACATGGAGGTCCTCCATGCAAGCTTTGGAACAACACTTGACTGGTCTGTTCACTACTCCAGATCTGGGAATGACTGATGTGTCTTGTACGGATGTAGTCATGGGAGTGGCCCCTAAAGAATAACTCTCCCCGTTGGCACTCAAAGACCATACCACCTGGCGAGAGCTCATGACGGATCTAGTCAACCTAGAAGCCAAGGACCTCGCCAGGCGGAAGAAGGCGCCCGCTGCAGGTGGGAAATCACAACGCAAGCGGTTTGGAAGCAGCAACCAGCTTGCACTGCATGATCATCGGGAGGCTGAAGATCAGTCCTATGCGGATGATCTGTCTCTAGATGACGATCTAGAGCCGGACCCCGATATGGGCTGTTCCACATCAACCATTGAGTCTGACGCCAACGAAGATGAAAAATTGAATGCTTTTAGAAAGACTGCTTCAAACAAGGGGCCCAACCGTGGTTCGGGTAAGGGAACTGTTGTCCACCTCCCCAAGAATGCTAGGATCCCTGAGAAATCGGAGGATGCATCTACCAAGCCTTGGGAAGCCCTCTGTATCAGTCAGAAAGAATGGGAAAGAAGATCTAAACTGCGCATATGCCTGCATTGTCAAAAGCCTGGGCATGCTGTGTAGGACTGTTTTCGACTGCAGGGAAACAAGCAAAGGGCGTAGAGGAGTCCTCAACACTCCCTACAACAAGGGAAGCTGGAACATCAGTTGCATGCCCCTCCGATGAGCCTGAATCTGATCAACAGCCCACTCTTGAAGCCCGGAACGACGCTGAATCCAAGGGTGCTGCAATTCATGTGCTTTACACTGAGCCTTGGGAGGAGTCTAAGGAAGTTGACTTCCACGCTCACATGGAACACCGGCTGCAGCTCAAGCAGCAATGCCGTGTTCAAGGGAGTGTGGAGCTAACCTTCTTTAAACTGCTCATTAACCGTCGATACATCCGCGTGCTGATTGATAGTGGTTCAACCACTAGTTTCTTTTCTCCTAACGGAATTCGTAAGGCGGGCCTGGGAATGAAGCAAGTGGAACTGCAGAACCCTTGTCAGACCCAGCTGGGCAACCAAGAGGTTGTCATCTCCACACATGTTGTCAAAGGTGTGCGCGTCACCTTTGACAGGGACCGCACTGTCACACATGAGCTCAACTTCTATGTCATGGACAAGTGTCCGTTCGACGCGGTCATTGGCTTGAGCTGGTTAAAGGCTCATTGCCTAAGGACCACGTGGGCGGACAATCAGTTCGTGGTGCGTGATGCCAAGGGGAACAAGCGTACCGTCCTATTGGATGAGACGCGCGAGTCCCCTGTGACTCTTCTAAGTGCAACCAAATTCTGCAAATCAGTGCGCAGGCGCAAGGAAATTGAGCATGTACATGTAGCTTTTGTAAAACCTCTCCATGTGCCTTCTACTTTTGCTGCGTTTTCTACCTCGGTAAGTAACTCTACTTCTACCACCTCTGCTTCTAATGTGAATAATCCTTTTACTTCTAATCCGGTTGTCATTGCTGTAAATTCTCAGTCTAATTTTCTTTCTCCTGATGAGGATGATCCTCCACCGGAAGTCCCAACAAACATTCGCCAGCTATTAGATCGATTCCCTGAAGTTTTGGCCGAACCTCGTGGAGTCCCCGAGCGTCCGGTCAAACACAAAATCGAGATAATAGAGGGGATTGTTCCTCCAAAGGGCTGCGTCTACCGTATGGGACAAGGCGAGTTGGAGGAATTGAGTCTGAGTTCGGTGCACCTGTCCTGTTTGTGTCAAAGAAAGAAGGCAAACTCTGAATGTGTATTGACTATCGTGGCCTTAATCGGATCACCAGAAAGAATGCTTACCCTTTGCCTCGCATAGATGATTTGCTAGATGCGGCAGGTGGGTGCAAGGTCTTCTCCAAGATCGACCTCAAATCTGGTTACCACCAGATTGAAGTTGATCCGAGTGACCAGCACAAGACTGCATTCAAAACACGCGATGGGTTGTACGAGTTCATCGTTATGCCCTTCGGTCTTACGAATGCACTGGCCACCTTTCAGTGCCTCATGGACAAGATACTTCGCCATCAACTCAACAGATTTGTGGTTGTGTACCTTGACGATATCCTGATCTTCAGCAAAATCATGGAAGAGCACCTCAAGCACCTTGAGGAAGTTTTGCAGGTCCTCAAGGAGGCGCAACTGCACCTCAACTTAGATAAATCTGAGTTTGGGAGGGACAACGTCATCTATCTTGGACACCGGTTGTCTGCAAACGGCCTTGAGCCGGAGGCAACCAAGGTTGAGGTCATTCGAAATTGGCCCCAACCGACAAACGTACGCGAACTGCGTTCTTTCCTTGGTCTGGCCTCATATTACCGGAAGTTTTTGCCCAAATTTTCTATCATCGCTCACCCTCTCTCAAGACTAACCAGCAAGAATGTTGCCTGTGCACGGTGTGAGAAGTGTGAGACTGCGTTCCAAGCCTTGAAAGAGGCGTTGGTGAGTCATCCTGTGCTTCGCATTGCAGATCCCAACCTCACTTTCGTAGCCACTACGGATGCGAGCCAGTTCGGGATTGGTGCAGTGCTGCAACAAGATGATGGTGATGGCCTGCGTCCGCTCAAGTACGACAGCAAACGCATGCCCAGCCACAAGGTAGCTACTTCCACGTATATGCGTGAGCTCTACGCCCTGCGCGAGGCTCTCGCACATTGGAAGCACTACCTCTTGGGTCGCCACTTCAAGGTCTACTCAAATCATCAGACCTTGCAGTGGATTCAGACACAATTTGAACTCTCTCCTACATTGACCCGCTGGTTGCATGACATTGATGTCTACAACTTTGAATTGAAACACAAGAAAGGCTATTATAACCGGGTTGTTGATGCGCTGTCTCGCCATCCTGAATTTTTGACTTGCCTTGTGGGTTCGTATGACCTCCGAAGGAAACTGAAGGAGGATCTGGTCGAACACACCGCCAAGGATCTGGACCTCAGTCCCATCCTTGAGCAGCTCAAGGCTGACCCTAACAGTCAGCCTGATTTTCATGAGTGCGAGGGTCTTGTATTCCGCCTGTATGGGAAATTTGATCGTTTGTGTGTACCTAACCATGCGCCTCTCCGAACTCACTTCTTGGATTTGGCACATGGTCGGAGTGGACATTTCGGCTTTGAGAAGACTTATGGAAGTCTTCTGCAGCAGTTTGATTGGCCAGGAATGAAAGGATCTGCTCATAAATTTATTGTTGAATGTCAGGTATGTCAAAGAACCAAGGTCCACAGGCATAAACCTTATGGCCTGCTGAGACCCCTCCCCATTCCTAATGGACCCAGTGAGTCGATTTCCATCGACTTCTCGGACATGGGAAAGGTGAGTGAGGCAGGAAATTCACAAGTCATGGTCACCGTGGACCGCTTCTCCAAATTTTTTAACTTGATTCCTTTCCCTCCCCATGCCCCAACTGAACTTGTCATCGAAGAATTCCATCAGCAGTGCATTCTACAGTTTGGCGTCCCGAAAAATATTGTGAGTGATCGGGACACCAGATTCATCAACAAAGATTGGAAGGACTTTACCTCTCAAATCTATGACATTAAACTGAACAAGACTTATGGTCAACACCCCGAAGCCAATGGTTTGGCCAAGGAGATCAACCAGACTGTCATCCAACTACTTCGCGCATTGATTGTTCCAGATCAGAACACGTGGGACAAGGTTCCGAGACCCTATGATACCTCGCCCTATCGACGGCGGTCACGAGATAGACAGAATCGTTTCTCACGAGGGAAGATGGAAAAACATACAGTACAAGGTTCACTTTCTCTATCACCCGTTGACTGAGTTCTTCTGGATCGACCAAAAAGAGCTGCTAAAGAGTGCTCCCCGTGTTGTGAACGCTTATGAACGACATATCGCTGAGGGACAGACTGCTAAATTTGTTGCGACCATGACTCCTCACGGACTTACTAAGTCTCTCCTTCT